CCCCCCCCCCTTGGACCCTGGAAAAATAAATTTAAACGTACATTTCGCCCTTAAAACACGCAATGTCATAAAACAGACATCAATGTAGATTTTATTAAACTTAATAAGCGATGGCAGGAGTAGTATTAAGTTCCACATAGATCAACTTTGTGGACAATAGCACCGCAAATAAAACAATATTACGCAATGGAAAGTTAGTTATACAGAGGTGGCTGTGGTTATAAGCATCATCCAATTTTTACAGCAGTCAGCTGTTGACATGCTAGGGCAAAGGCGAGCGCCGAGCGCGCGAGCAAGGACCATACGAGGACGGGAAAACAGCTGATTTCCTGATGTTCCATAGTTGTCAAATTGTCTGCTAGCCACTAACTTTACATAGGCATCAATCAGCAATCAGCGGTAGCACCAGTAGCCTTTTACCATTTACTATATTAACACTAATGTTAAAGTTTTGTATAGGTAGTCAATGCTATTACCGGTACTGAATTCGATACTATACATATTGTGACAGATCTATGAAATGGACTGTAGAAAAACATAAGTAAAACGTATCTTCTTGCTTGCATGACATATAAAAAGCATATAATAGGTGAAATGGAAGGTTTTAGGATAATTATTGAGCACAGTTCTAGCCGTTAGAAATGGCCATATAAAAGTGACCAAACGGCTTATTTTTAGGAGATATGGCTTCGTAGTCTACAGTAGGCCGATGTTTTGAAATTCATGAATGCAAGTTCGTCATAGTTTGATTTTTAAAATGTCTACTTACTTGCTCATGACAAAGACAAATAACAGGTGAAATTGCAGGTTTTTGGACAGTTGGACACAAATAGACATCAGTAACGGCTTTAGAAAGTCAGTAAACAGCCTTTTGGACGATATTGCCGTAGCCTACAATATGTTTTGAGATTTATGAATGCAATCGTCATAGTTAGTTTTAAACTTATTCATGACAAATAAAAATGGGGAAATGGGAGGTTTTGCACACAGTTCTAGACGTTAAAACTGGCTGTAGAAAGTCACCCAACGGCTTTTTTAGGCGGATATGGCCGTAGTCTACAGTGTTTTGAAATTCATGAATGCAATATGCAATCGCCATAGTTTAATTTTTAAAATGTCTATTTGCTAATGAAAAACAACAGGTGAAATGCGGAGTTTATGGACAATTAGGCAAGGTTTTAGGTGTTAAAAATGTCTTTAGAAAGTCACCAAACAGCTTTGAAAATTCCAAATTTTCCCGGGGGAGAACCCCCCAATGCTCCACCCACAGTCCACACCCCCCAAGCCCCCCGGTGGCCCACCCTTGACAAGGTCCTAGAACCGCCACTGACGCCTGGGTCCGTTTAGAACCATAAAAACTCAAAACTTTTAAAAAGTAGACCTACTGAAAGACGTAAAATTAATATTAATTAAACAAAATTAAGAGGATGACACGGGTTGTACACTACAGTAGGCCTAATAGCCTACGATAATAGAAATTTGCAATTTTACTATACATAGAAAATTTTTTTATGCAATCCATTAATACATTAGGCCTACCACTTTATAATGTATTGGTCAATATTTATTTAAATTCAATAGCTCTACTTTTAAATAAATTACCACTGCAATGCATTTCTGTAATGACGTTTAACGTGTAAATTTTATCATGATTTATGATTCAATTTTATGATTAAAGGTTACGAGCCCAGTATATAAAATACGAACTTAATAATTTTTATTGCAGAAGTTAACAAAATGGTATTTATTCGAATAAAAGAAACAAATGGTGGACTACGAAAATAGATATTTTATAACATGTATAATATCCTAATTAAATGTACAGTATTATCATTTTGTATCCCAATAAACTACTATTTAAGTAAGAAAACCACATATAAAACATACTCCCTTATATTAGTACATTTCTCATAGTAGTTATGTCCGGTGCACTGTCTTTAGAGGTCGTGTTTTGTTTACAATTGTTTCTTGTTTTCAGTAATTTAAAACCTCGTTTAACCAAATAAAACGTTTTAATCACAACTTATAACACGTACCCTATTTATTTAACCAGTATAAATAGGGTATAACCAGTTCAGTAATGAACAAATCATGAAGTTAACTATAAAATAATAGAAACACAATTTCGTCGACACTAGCGATCAGTGTCACCGGACATGAATTAGACACGAAAAACGAGCTTCAAAGTTTACACTAGGATGTAAAGTTTACTTGTGTTGGTTAGTCTATGGTAAGACTATAATGCATTTTCTACCCTAATAACCATAAGAATAATATCTTACTCCTAATTATTCGTAGGATACGACATTATGGTACCGATACGATATAGGTACTACACTTTCGGCAACACTGGCCAAAAATCTTCGTGCTTGGCTCCCATTGGACGGCCCGCGAGGCTTCTGATTGGGAGTTAGCGAGTTCTGCCGAGGGACCGAGTTAGCGACTTCCGTACGAGGACGGAATTCGCTAACCCGGCTCTAGAGCGGGTTAGCGGGTTCCGGAGTTAGCCAATTCCAAAACCGAACAAGTTAGCGAGTTCCTCCCATCGACCAAATTTGAAGATAGGGCGTTTAACATGGGGTTAGCGAGTTCCAGAGTTAGCCAATTCCGCGGACCCGTAAATTTTTGTAAACAGGGTAGCACGATTTACAAAAACAAACTTTATTATTTTCTTTACAGTTGAAATGATTACTGAGGTTAAATATGTTGTGTTTGCCATTCAGAAAATGTAAAAAATAGTACATGATGAATGGTAGCTTAGTAGTATCATTCTACTATTTAAATCCTATCCTACTAATATTATAAGTGAGAAAGTTTGGATGGATGGATGTTTGTGACAAGTAAACGTGAAAAATATTGGTTGGATTGGGCTGAAATTTGGTGTGATAAATGCAAAAGCTCACGTTCCCAATTACATAGACGCATTCGTATCTCAAAAATCCTTTTGGGTTCCGCCCCAGTGGCTCTGGAGTTTCCCATGTTAACCTTATCAACTACACAAGTTGGTTCTATGATATTAAATAGCATTAAAAAGTTAAGGTTTACCAGCAGGGTGCAGCACTATTATTATTTTTTTATTTATGACAACATCTAATTTGAACCAACTAGCAAAAAAACCTGTGAAAAATTATAATTTCACATTTTTTACTATATCCTACTGTAAATTAAAAGAACCAAATTTTCTTAAACCGTGTCCTCTCATAATTTTTTATTGGGAAATGAATGTTCCTAAAAACATTATGTAGCCCTATTGATAGTTAGGAGCATAACTGTTCCATTTTCAAACATTATCGTTGCACAGAGAAGTCGTCAACCCAAAATATCAAATAACATAGAACTGCAAGGGAATTTTACTGCAATTATTAATGAAATTATCAAATGAAATCTTTATGTGTCCCTCAGTGTAATCGAATGCATGTGTAATAAAATGTATTTGTGGTAATGAGATTTTAGAATGGAGTAGTAGCTTTGCACTAGCCACGTGAAATAATTATTGGAAAGATCACTAAGTATATATGAAACATAGGCCTATTGCAGTGATTGCATCAATTCTAGAAGAACAAATTGAACAGCAAATTGGTATCCTTGATGGAAAAATTACCAAGCTCGACACAATATAAACATGAAATACCTCTCTCCAAGAATGGAACGTGGTCGTCGCCGACTCCCAAGTTCAGTTGAAAGTCAAAGAAGTAAGACCTAGGGTGATTGACAAGCAGCTTCTGATTGTGCAGTCTCTGTTCTGCCGACATGATCTGCTGATACCACTCATGAGTGTCAGCAAAACTGCTGATGAAGGTGGGGCTCTTGTACCCAAGCAGGTCTAGAAGTACCAGTAGGTCCTGAAATGTCAAATACGAGTTATAATCTCAACTTCTGTTATGGTTCTAGATGAGTTAAGTGAAGGGTATTTTAAAGAAAAATACTCTAAAGGCTCAATAACATACATTATAAGCTACTAGCTCTCACATAAATCTCGTACACTAGCCAAGGGTATCGCCGCACCTCCCTGATAGCTGCTGTTAAACATCTGATGCACGCCACCCACAGCACAGTGAACAAAAAAGATTGTAAAATTATCCAATTGTAGGCCTACTCTTAGTTACTTGAGAACAAGTGAAAAGAAGGATGGTTATTAATGACATCAGAGGTGGGGGTTATTAGTTTGTGGGGACTTTGGTTAGTTATATGGCACTTGCTAACAAGCCTGCTTTTTTACTAATAAGCTAGCAAGCTGGGGCTGGCAATGTGTAATTGACATTTCACAGAATTTAATCTTTCTTAGAAATAATGTTTATTCTAGTTCTAAAGTCTTGGAAACATGTCTATATTAGACATTATGTTGCCAAGAATTGGTTTGCAAAATGTTCTTATTAAAAACCCATGATTGATGATTTTAAAAATATCTTGAGAACTCGAAGCATCAACAACTATAACTAACAGAAGAATATTGATGATTCCATAAATAATTAAATTACCATTAGCAAACAAAAAACTATGGACAATCGTCTTTTTTCTTCTAACATAATTGAGGTTTACTTATACATACGGTATTTATTGATGTGAAAATAAATTTGCTTTAGGAGCTCCATGATAAAAAATTATCAAGTAGTAATCGTTAGTTTTGATTAATTGAGATATGCAGCTTTTTTAAATTATTGATTCATGTCAAACGTACAACAATGAGTAGTAAACTAGATGGAGCTAATAAGGTTGAGCATGTCTGCGTTATAAAGCAGGTAATTTTCATAACTGTAGTTAGTTGTTCATATCCCGTTAAGAACCTTACCTTGATCTTGGTTCTAAGAACTGCCATGATGATAAATAACATTACAAAAATAAAATACCTTTCACTATTTTACTCTTCCATAAGATAACAATATTAATCTTACTGTGCTGGACACACTTTCACATTCCGGATTTGTAACAGTTTAGAGGGATGTATGATTAAAGGACCTTATAGATTAAATTTTGTTTTATTTGTTTAATTATTTCCACAAAAAAGCATATATCTAAAGCTCTTGATTGTCTTTATAAATACATGTAGATATTTAGCAAAACATTTAAGTTTCTTACAATTCCAAAAAACATCATTGGGTATCAAAAAGGTGTCAGTTATTAGAATTAAACATAATGTATACAATTCAAAAACATTATCCAAAACTTAACAAGAAAATTACAAATACAATTTTTGTTCATGAATATGTTATTTTGGTTACATGTCATGAATGCTAAGAACTATGTCAAAATAAATTCCAATCCTAGTGCGTAACATATTTTGTATAAAATGTTGAGCCAATCTAACATTACCAGTACCTGATTTTAGATGTTGATAAGACTAAGAAATGATCACTATCTTTTTGGGGGAGATGCTAGCTGCACATCCCGATATACAGGGTATGGACGGATCAGAGGAACAAATCAACCAAAGAAGTCTCTAGAATGACTGAGAAGGTTAAATGTTATATTACAGAAATATTTTGTAAAATAGTGGATTTAAGTTTTGTAACATAGTTCAATAGTGACATTTTTATGATGGTTAAGTGTTCCAAAAAGTAGTTAAACATAACCATTACACAAGAACTAAAAAAATAAATGCCTTATAATGTGTTAAAAAGTAAATTCTTAAACAAGAAATCTAAGGGTATCCATACATCAATAGTAGGTCTACACCAAGAACCAAATACATACTCCTATATTTAATTGACTTTTGGGTACTATAATAATCATTCGATCTAAATGGACATAAAGATTGAATGTGTAGTTCTATCAATAGTCAGTTTCATATTGTGATCTAATAGTGAAATAGTGATGATTTAATTTTAATGGGTTAAAAAGTAGTTTAAACCAACGTTCATTGATAACTAAATACAGGGTGGGGCAGAGTGGACTCCCTAGTTTCAATCAGTCGCTGAAGAGCGTGCGCGCGAGTTAGCGGAGTGGGAGAGGTTTCATGTGGTGGGGGGAAAGACGCCATTGTTAGTAGTCACCATGCCATAAACTGGCGAGCATCGTGGTTTTGTAGTCAAAACGTTCTTTAAAAATAAGGATAGTGTGGTGGCGACCCAGCGTGCATTTCGTAGACGGTTTGGTTTGAATTGTCATGATAGTGTTCCCGATGCTAAAACCTTAAGGAAATGGATTACAAGTGTACGGGCGACCGAATCTGCAACTGAGGTTTACAAAGTTCGACCAAGGACCTTGGAAGCCCTTAAGGAAGCAATTGTTGATGTTATCACTGGAATAATGCCAGATATGCTGCGTAAAGTTTTTGAAAACTTCATTGAACGGCTAAATATGTGCATCGCTCGTCAAGGTCTTCACCTGGACGATATCATTTTTAAAACTTAATGAAAAATAAATGGCATTGTATTTAGATTTCAGAAATAAAAAGCTTTTGTAGTAATCTTGTATGGTTTTTATACAGTTAACCGATCAAATCAGGGAGTCCACTCTGCCCCACCCTGTAGAAACTGAAACCATCTACTACTCATTCAGAATTAAATTTGGAACAAAACTAATAGATATAGTCATAGACTAACCAACACAAGCAGACTTCTTATCCCATTGTACATTTTGAAGCTTGCTTTTGTGTCAATTTCATGTCTGGTGACACTGATCAGTGATCGCTAGTGTCGACGATACTTTGTTTATATTATTTTAGGGTTAATTTAATGATTTGTGCTTTACTGTTCAGCTATATGGTTATACAACTAGGGGACAAGTCATTGTTTATGTTTAAGTCGTTTCATTTGGTTAAACGAGGTTTTCAATAACTGAAATAACAAGAAACAAAATGTTAACTCATAACTCATAACAAAACAAAACCTACACAGTGATAGTTCATGAACAAAGTAAAAGCATTCAGCAAGTATTCTTCCTAAGTAAATTTTGGTGAAGTGGCAAGAAAAATATATTCTGAATCACTGAATGTATTACGGGGCACCAAAAAAAAACCTTCAAATTTCTTAACTCTATATGAAGAAACCCATACATTAAGGTCTCTAACCAAAATAGTTATGATCAGTTCAAAAAATTAAAAAAAGTTTAATTCGATAGCAAAAATTCATAGCAAATAAAAATAGTAGGAAGGTTACAAGTTACAACTAAATCCAACAGGACTGAAATTAAGAACTAATTACAATTTTAGTAAAGTTTGATTTGGTAGTTCTAGTTACTGACATTAAAATTGATTTTTACTGAAGCAATTATTTAGTCAAGTTTCCAGCATATTAATGACACTAAAAACTGTAAAACATAGGGGCATGGAGAATTGGGTTCAGTACTCCCAGTTTTAAAGCAATAGAATTAGTTGAATGCTGCTTTTATTTTACCTTGGTAAAACCTTCTAGTGTGCTCACTGAAAACTCATAACAATCAACTAAAAGTGAAAAATATTAATAAAAGTCTTAAAAGAGGTAACAAAATCACAGCACAATTTGTTTTATTGCGGTCCAATAAAAGCTTAAATTCAACTGCAAGCAAGTCTTGTTAATTTGACATTTGTTTGACTAGTTTGTTGAGATTTTTAACATGTTTAGATTCCAGATTTAAATTTAAAGATACTGATAAAGTTATTATTTTTTAGTAAGACACATATGTACATATTAAATAAGCGGTATCAGCAATTTTACACATACTTTCTCCCATAAGCTTGTCAAGACCCCTTATCATGGGTAAGTGGTTGTGGTAACAATGATGTTGGGAAAAATCACAAAAGTTGCAATAGCTTATGAACATCTACACACACACACACACACACACACACACACACACACACACACACACACACACACACACACACAGACATCACTTTGAAAACAAATAAAAAAACGGCAAAAAAACTATGTATTTTATGCAGCGCACTATTCAGCGTCTGAGAGTGGTGGGCTAGGCTTGTTGGAAAGCCTACACTATGCCATTATTTGTGGTCATAGAGCATTGGGCACCTGAGCAATGTGAGTTTGTTGTTGAGTTGAATTTAAAAAGTAATGATTCAGTCATTGCAACTCAGCGGAGGTTCCATGCATTCCTTTAATTTTTAATTAGGGCGACGTGGATTCCGTTAAGTAGCACACTCATGTAGTGTGTTACCAACTTTATAACAACGGCTTCTGTGTTCAAAACGAAGCTGATAAGCCATCCAAAGCAGATCGGAAAGCCAGACAACTAACATGCAATAGAGTTGGTGCTGCTGTGGAACACAATCCTTGTAGGCCCTCCCGAAAACAAGCATCTGCTTTGAACATGTCTGACCGCTCGATTACGCTAATTTTGAGGTTCGATCTTAACTCTTATCCATACGGATTAATTAGTATTATTCTGTTTAATTTTGTTGATTATCCATACACATATTCGCAACAGAACCTCTCCATGTCGACCTAATTTAAAGAATGCATGGAAATGCTGTTGAGTTGCAATGACTGAATCATTACTTTTTTTAAAAGACTCGAAAACAAATTCACGCTGCTCAAGTGACAACAACCCTGGTCTATGACCACAGATAATGGCATCGTGTAGGCTTTCAAACGAACCTACTTCAACCACCCTCAGACTACCTGTCGCTGAACAGTGTGCTGCAGAAAATAGATCGGTTTTTATGCTGCACCATGTACATGCTAATAAGCTAAAAAAAATAAATTAAATTAAGTATCGTAATCGTCAGCATACATAGCAAATCTATTTTTACCTACCGAAATGTAACACCCTCATAATGTATGATTAAATTACAAAACTAATCCATTTGATTAAATATAAAAATATTCTATACCCTTACAACCATTGTCTAGCCTATACTTATACTAATAATACTTAAGCTGCCAAAATATCAAGATGGATTAACAATAATTAAAATGTAAAAATGCTAATGTTGTTTTAAAATTTTGTTTATACAATATTTTTTGTTGGAATGTCATTACGGAGGAACTAACTTTCAGCAACAAAAGCCCTTAACTTTCAACTTAACACATTCCAAATAATCAGTCATGGTAGATCAACTTAACAGTTCAACTTTAGAAATGTTGGACAATTTCCGTTCCTGAACAAGCTTTTGACTGTTAGAGACCAGAAACTTGATAAACTGTGTAACAGCGTCATTCATAAAACCGTACTGTTTTGGATATCTGTCAATGCTTTAGTTTGAGTTTTATAAACCCCAACATAAAATCTAATGTAAAATGTTGATATTTAAATGAAAATGTGACAAGTTAAGTTATGTTACATAATTTTCATTGGCTATAGATAGTACAGTACAGTAGGTTTGGCCGAGTCTCCTATTTTAAAACAGTTTGGACGTTATAAGTCATATGTAGAAACATCTAAATTTCTAGGCCTTTTTGTTTTAGTTCTGGCACCCCCTCTTAAGTAGCCTAAAGTAAAGACCCTGAGTATTTTGTTTAAGTTGTCGATAGTTGGCATGTCTAGTGCATTGTAGTTGTCGGAAAGCTCGTGCCAAACTGTCGGAAATGGAGTAGGAATGATGTGTAGACATGGAACGCCTGGAAAAAATTACCAATTATAAACAATATTACAGAATGGTACCTAAAGTTTTTAAATGTACGAGAGTTAACAATGCCCAAATCAACAATTTACTAACAAATTACTAACAAACAATAATAACTATATTACCAATCAGAACTAACCAGCTACCAAACGTTTTATCAGCCACTAGTATGGGTAATTAATTAACATGGAAATAGAAGTGTGTGTAATCTATGTGTAATTGCGGTCACTTTACACAGGTTGAGGACAAAAGCAAGTTGTAAACAATGCTCATAGTTCATATTTTTGTCATTAAAGGTTGCATAACTAGTTAAAAAATATCATAGTTTTTCATTTGATTCTGTATCTGCAAGAAGTTCATACTGCATTCAGTTTCTACTAGTTTGTGATCAACTATACAGTATTTGGAATTAAGCAACTACTGTATCCCAATAACATTCTGATTCTTTAATGTATGAATATTTTCACTTAAATCATGAGCTGTTTATATCCGACTCACAAACTCTTTATCATACCAATTAGTTAGATTCCCATATAATTTGGATAGTTAGAGTGGTACTAAAGTTACTACTTCAAATCTGGGTTCAAATGTAACAATCTGTATTTAAGTAGATCTGGTCCTGGGCTGACATATGCATTTGTGGTCAATTATTGTTAAGCATAAGCATACACTATTCACTTAGTTTTGTACATTTTTCTATTGCATTTGAATTGGGTTGAACTGGTGATTTAGGACAACTAGTATATAAATTTTGTGCTAAACTTCAGTAGGATCTCGTTAATTCGGCCTATATGGGGATTAGAAAATACCGGATTAGTGAAAATGCATCAGAAAATGAAGTAGTTTTACAATAAACAGCATTTTTATTGCTTACGAAAACTATGATATAATTATTTGAATTTCTTTACAGTATAGGCCTAATGAAATGTTGTTTAACGTATTATTAAAAAAAGGAACAGTAATATGAAACAGCAAACAACAGTACAGTACAATTTTCAATCAATGAACGAATATAATCACTAAATACTGTATGTGTACAAAATGAAAATTACAGAACTGTAGGCCTACTGTACATTTTACATGTAAGGCCTACTTAAACAACAGAAATATTATAGTCTGTAATGCTTTTCTGCTTCTTTGCATTAAAAAAAGGAAGTTTTAAAACATTTTCCTGGAATCTCTTTAGTGTCATAATATCGGAAGCCGAAGCACCGTTTTATTCCACCCAAGTTATTGCAGTTGCATAGGCACAGAGCGCCGAATCTGTGTTGACTGTGTGTGCAGCTGTCGGTGGCTCCGCCCTCCTCATTCCCCTCCTCCACGTCATTGCCGTCTAGCTAGATCATCTTCGATGATCTCATCGTCTGTCATGATCGTTCATGATGATTTGACAATGCTCGTCGCCTGCTCCTTCTAACCAGGCGGTAACATTGACTGAGGTCAGATCTTTTGGATCGTCTACAAATTGTTCGATTATTGCTTCTCTCAAGTCATTTAGCTCAGCATCTGTTGTCACACTGTCATCTGTTGTCACTGCCGTTTGAGGATTTTATTGTTTTTTGTAATCCTCTAATAAATCAAGAGAAGGCCACAACTTCGCCCATGAACAAACAATTGTTTTTGTTGAAAGTTTTTCCCATGCGCTTGCAAGATAAAAAACCCCCGCCGCAGCAAACCTGTAGACTAAGCGAATTTCCATTTGCCTGATAGGATTTACACTCAAATGTCTCCTTAAAATTATCACATTTATTCCCTATTTAAATATAATTAGTTTAACAAGTACTTAGGTTTGCTGCAACAGGGAGGATAAAAATTGTTTTTTGTTGTAAAATGGTGATACTGTAGTTTAGTAAGAAATGAATGTATTTTCAAAATTTGATCAAAATATGTTCATAAACAAGCAAACTATAACAGTTGACTTATTCTCCATAAGAATAACATGGGAATTTTAAATTTTAAATTTTTTGAAATTTTTTCTGTAACCATTAGGCGCATAATAACGCATCAATATACTAAATTATTTGTTTTTTTAATCTCTACAAAATGGTTTGGAAAGAAATTGTGAAATTTTGTGTTTTTAGGGTCGAAAACGGGAAAAACCTATTTTTACCCCACAAAACCCCCCAGAAACCCTCGTTCCCATAGTCCGATCATGCTGGTTCGCGAACTTGTTCGAATAAATGTAGATTTACACATTTGTACCGAATTTCATCAAAATCGGATCATTTTTGCTCGAGTTATCGTGCTAACGGACACACACACACATATGCATTTGCATTATGTGAACCCCCCTATATATGAATTTGAATGCATGGTGTTTTTGGCCTCTAGGGACCTCAAAACGAAAAAGTAAATCGGTCCCGGGTCCAGGTCTTACCATGAGTACTACGGTAATAGCTTATTCCCTATATGGGAAATTCGCTAAAAAAACAACATCTTTCAGGTTGGTTTCCTTCAGACCTGTAACAAGACCTCTTTTAATCAGACTTTTGATCAGACCTCAAGATACTGTACAGCAGGGTTTTTTTTTTGTAATCTGTTACAGTAGAACCTCTTTAATCCGAACTAATTGGGACCGGAGGTAGTTCGGACTATTGAATAGTTCGGATTACAGAACATATTGTTGTTTTTACATAACAATAGCTAGGAAAAGTGAAAAATGCTTTATAAAGTAAAATACAGTGTTTACTTAATACAGAAGTAAACATAGGGAATAAACAGTAGCCTACTGTACATTACAATTGAAATAATTATGGTGCGTATATCAATAAATACAGTATACAATAAAGAACTACTGTACTGTGTATACAGTACAGCAATGAGGCGTTCGGATTAGTGGACGTTCGGATTACAGGGGTTCGGATTTAAGAGGTTCTACTGTATTATAGTTTGGATCACATTTTGGCTGGAGTATCAGTTACATTAGGGGGCAAAAATAAAGCAGTGATTTTTCCATCCCTACTTTTTTACTCATCCTCATCTGGATGTCCAGGACAATAATTATTAACAACAAAAGGGCTTTTTGAGGCAATTTCCGTGTTTTCAAAAATTTTTTTACCGATGGAACAAAATTTTATGAAACCATTCCGAATAAAGAGTTTTGGTCAATCCATCCCTTTGTCGAATTTGTGTATGAAACCGGCAACTGTGTGTTTTTGAAAGCCCTTGGCTTTTTGGCTTTCCCAACAACCAGCAATTCTAATTCATGCGTGCCACTAGCATTACATCACGGCATAAAAGTTACCCTATCTTTGGCCAACTTGCGACCTGGGGCGCTAGCTTCCTCTCTATGAATAAATTTTTGTTTCGGCAAAAGACGCCAGAACAGACCACTCTCATCAGCATTGTAGATCTGATCTGGGCCTAAGTTCATTTCATCCACGATTTCTTTAAATTTTTCAACAAAAGGCTCGGCAGCCTCTAAACCACACGAAAGCCTCTATCCAGTTAAAGTTAGCAATTGAATTCCAAAGCACTGTTTGAATTTATCTAGTCACCCAACACTTGCACAGAAGTCGTTATTTTTCATAATTTTGTTATAAAATAGTTTTGCCTTTTCCATGATAATATTGCCTGAAATAGGCGTGTGTCGGCTCTTTTCTTGCATGAACCTATTATAAAGTGCATCTTCTACTTGCGGAAATTCACCTGCTTTTAATTTCTTTCTTACCTTGGAAGATGATTCACTACTCCTCTTAAAGAATTGTGTTCATTATTTATGTCGTTTATAGTTAAATGCCCGATATTCGATTCCTTAGACAAATGAGCCAACTTTTCACCCTTTTCCAAACATTTTAAAGCCGACAATGGATAGTTTGTTTGGACTTTGGATGGTTCAAACACTAAATGCGTAATATTCACACACTTACCACTGTGTCTCTCAAATAACCAATTCACACCCCATTCATCTAGTAAAGTACAGATTGTAACGTTGGTTTCAGTGGTGTAGTGGGGCAAGAACACGTGAGAACGGTGTTCTCACTCTGCTGTTTCCAAAGAACCTGTATGTTGAATAGGCAACCTGTATTTTTTCTACGGCAATGGTGAGCATTCTCGCAATGTAAAATGTACAACCACACCATTGGTTGGTTTCCCCAACCATCATTTAGCACTCGTAATGTGTGGTTTTGAAGCATATCCGTTAATATTTATACTACCTTCGGATATTGGGATCTTTCACACTTTTTTTTTAACCAGTGTCCTGTTTCGAGGTGTCCAAAGGAAAGAAAGTCTACTGTGCCAGTATTAATTGAGTAATGTTTATATCTATTCAGGTAGAAAATAAATAGGCTAGTAGATTTAGGTACATACCTCGCTCAAGGAAGGGCATATGGTCATCATCAATATGAGCGTCGAGATGCATTCTGTTGAAGTAAACTTCATTGTTAATCTTCTTCAACAACCTCATGTCAGTAAGGCTCCTTTCTGCAGCAACCATTTGCAAATACCAACTTTGTGTTTTGCGGAAATAACTGTAGAAAGAAGGCTGAGGAGTCCCCAGCAAATCCAGAAGTACCAACAGATCCTGAAAAAATGTGTAACTGTACTGCATTTATTTTTAATGCGGGAAAAGTGTAGATCAAAGCCCATTTACAGTTTAAATGAATATATACAGAATAGCACATTTAAAACATGATGTTATTTACGTTAAAAAATGTAATTTATTTATAAAATAGCCTAATATTATACTGTTACTTGATGGAAATGTCAAATGAGTATAACACCGTAAACAAATAAATCCATAGGTATACATACAGTAGACTCCCTCTTATCCGAACTCCTCGGGACCGAGGCCAGTCCGGATAACGGGTTTTCCGGTTATACCGACGTCCCCAAAAACTCATTAAAACAGACTGTTTACTTTGATATTCGACATAAATTTAGGAGAGCATTGTATTTAGACACGTGATCACTGGTTTCAAATCTTTCCCACGAGAACAGTCTTTCAGTAATGCCCAATTCCTGCCGATAACAAGACATCCACTGTACTAGCAATGAATACCATTGGTACTAGCTTTTAGCCAACTACATAATACAGTACAAAAAGGGGAAAATATCAGTTGCAACTATTGAGCAAAGATTACGCAGAAGATTACTCGATAAAGGGGAAAATAAAGCTAGTGTTGATGAGTGTTTCGTGATTGTGGCGTTTGAGTGCACTGGTGTCAACTAAAATGTTTTACTCTTATTTAAGGGTAGATTTTAAATTTGTATGCACTCTTTTTTTATAGTTTACATAATTTGGACAGATGTGTTTAGGAAAATTTCCATCATAATAAATTGAAATTCCACTGAAACTGAAATAATAAAAGCCAAAACTAGTTGTACATAAAACATGAGTTTCCTTTATATGTATTGCGTTTACAATCTAAATAAACTATACCGAGCCATGGCTAGGTCCCCTGGTACTATGAATAATAAAAGTAGTTACAGCATGTTGGCTGGCCGTTGGTATCACATTTTTTATTTTTCACAGCTTTTGTCTTAACTAAATAGATTGTAGAATAACTAGAATAGAATGTCTAAATTAGGACAAAAAAAAAACAGAATACACCAAAAATTCCCACAACCTGAAAGCAAATTTATAGCACCTTCTCATTGATTTTTAAAAGCAAAGTTCAATGAATTTTATTTTATTTCATCAACAACTTGCAAAATGTGTCAAGAATAACTTGAGGGATAAAAGGTTGATGGCTGTACAGATTTAAAGAGTGTGACTTTTAACATGTGAATGACATGTGAGAATTCATTAACTTGTTTGTTAGACCTTGGGCCAATTTGCACTAAACTGAAGAAGGTTGAATACATTTTGCATTTGTTCAAAGCGAATGTGATAAGAATAAGATTTTGTATACAAACAAGTATTATTTCAACACATCCTTGGATAAGTTATCATTTATAACACACTAATACTTATTACTTTACAGATAATCAAAACCACAAGAATTATATAAGGTTATATATGATTACTTATAAAAAACAACAGTATTCCAAAGCACACAACAATGTTCCTGTGTAAAATACAGTAAGGTAAGAAATACCTCTATTAAAGCAAACCTGCTGATTAATTTCCACTTGTTTGATTGAGTTTGTATTCCAACATTCCATGATTACTTATATTCAATCAGCAATTTAAGTAAAAAACCCCATTTGAATGAGTTTTTATTTTCTTCAAAGTTATCATCAATTAACAGGTTCCTTGCCAAACTGAATCAAATAGTATTTCTATTCCATTATGCATATAGAGTAAAGAATTTTGTTAGTATTTACACCAATGAGGGCTACTTTGTTTAAATGTTATTAAGTAAATTAAAATACCGAAAGTACCCTGAAATAAAATGTTTTCAGGGTACTTCCGTATTTTAATTTACTTAATAACAGTAAAGAATGTTGATTCTGATTATTAAACAAGGAAACTGCAGCAGAAATGGAACTTTTTTTATGATAACATTGGAGTTGTACAGTGTGTTCAAAACTTTATTTTTGTCACAAATATGCTTATTGCAAAAAGATTTCCGCAAACTTGCGAACCACCTGGTGCACAAATAACAGATTAATTACACATACTTTTAACCGGAACCCCAGAACACTTTTGCTCACAGTAGCTTAAGCAAGAGTTTTTACAGACCCAAAGCTAATCTTCATACATATTTGTCAACTCACCGATCAATAAATATTAGCTGTTTTCTTCAGATTTAATGACTACTGGTAAATTGTTGTATTTGTAAATGATCTGATATAAAACTGTTACAAACTCAAAAATGTTAACTCAAAACTTAAAAATAGTTAAAAAGCTATGTTAGTGTTATAAAAACATTAACTAATCTTAAAGGCTTTTTAATATTAAAGGTGTAGATTCCTATACTCTAATACAAGCTATGTCTGTCTGTTTGTGTGTCTCTCTGTCTGTAATATATATCACGAAATCCAGCAAAGGATTTTTTAAAACGTGATTGGTGACAGGCACTACTGTAGGCAAGAGTTAAGAAGTCCCCTGAGCCCTGGTCTATTCTAAAAATGCAGGCGCTTGATACTTGACGGCTCGACGTATGCTCATTTCCACCCGGCAGTCAGGGCTCACATCCACAGCGTTAAAACTAAAATAGACAACTGTGATTTTAATTTATTTTTAGTGTTCAACTTTATTTATATTGTAGAAGTACAATACATGTACGTCAAAATGGCTGGGCCGAACAAATAAAAAAAAATTAATATTAAATTAATAAAAAAAAACATGTTAATGTTCGTGTAAAATTAACGTTCTGTATACGAGGTGTGGCTAGAAAAAAACGGGATTTTTTGTGTAACTAGTTTTATTTCATTTCCTTTACAACTTTTGCCTTATTACCTTCAATATACTCCCCTCCACTATCCCTACACCTCTCCATTCGAATTTTCCATTGTTCAAAACAGTGTTTTAAGTCATTTTCTGAGAGCATGTTCAAAGTCTCCGTCGCTTTTTGTTTCACAGCTTCCACAGTCTCAAATCTGGTCCCCTTCAACACTTACTTCACTTTTGGGAACATAAAAAAGTCACACGGAGCTAGGTCTGGTGAGTAGGGTGGATGTTCTAACACAGGGATCTCATGCTTGGCCAAAAATGTTTTAACAACAAGTGCATTGTGGGCTGGGGCGTTGTCCTGATGAAGAATCCACGACTTGTTCTTCCACAACTCTGGTCGCTTTCTTCGCACTCGCTCATGGAGGGTGGCCAAAACCCCTAGATAATATTCTTTATTCACGGTTTGACCTCCAGGAACCCAATTTACATACAGAATTCCATGGATGTCAAAAAAACAATCATCATGGCCTTGAATTTTGATTTTGACATTCGAGCTTTCGTCATTCGTGGTGAATTCGGACTCTTCCAGTGCATTGATTGTCGCTTAGTTTCTGGGTCATAGGTAAAAAACCATGATTCGTCACACGTAATAACTCTTTCCAACAGTTCAGGATCTTCCTTAATGTTTTTTAAGATGTCAGAACAGATTTCCATCCGTGACTTCTTTTGTTCCGGCGAGAGAATTTTTGGCACCATTTTTGAACACACTTTTCTCATATTAAAATTTTCATGTAATATTTGCCGAACCGATTCTTTGTCGATTCCCACAGTCTCGGCAACTGCACGGATACTCAATCTACGATTTTGACGGATTACTTTGCCTATTTTCTCAATGTTTTCATCAGTCTTCGAGGTTGAAGGACGTCCTGGGCGCGGATCATCTTCAACATCTTCTCTCCCTTCTTTGAAACGCTTATACCACTCAAAAACGCGTGTGCGTGACATACATTCTTCCCTAAACACTTCTTGTAAGAGAGAATAAGTCTCTGTTGCGGATTTACCCAGCTTCACTAAAAATTTCACGTTAACACGTTGCTCAATCAAGACACCTACCATTTTTCCGACGAGCGGCATATACAAGGTCCAACAGGAACGAAGGCTGAGGCCCGACTAAACAAGATAAGCTCGCCCAACTTGCTGGAATGTGGAGAGGGGATGTCAGGCGACCCGGCTATATGGTATTTGACCTTGAGACTCGCACAAATTATCTCACAGAAAACCAGTCCTGTTATTTTCTAGCCACACCTCGTATATTATATAGCCAAAGTTCATAGTTGTTAATTACTCACCAATATTGTGTGTTCGATTATTTGAATAAAAAAATGCTGTTTACTTAAAACCTTCATACCGTAAGGTAACAAGAAAACTACAATACATTGCGATTGTTGTACAATCGTTTCCCCACGTTTCCTAACGTCTTCCATAATACTATACTGCAAAACCACCATCACGGTAAAAATACTTGTGGTGCACTGAAGTAACTAAAGCGATATTCACTGTATTACTCATCTGTTGTCGTTGTATTCGATATGCGATTGCTGAGAAAGGGAGGTGCACCTGCAAATACCGCACGGCAACATTTTAACATTGCTGCATATCGCTCTGGCCCAGAACACTTCTTAACTCTTGCCTACAGTGGAAATTTTGTATTTCACTACACTAATCATTTTAAAATTTTAAAATTTAACATTGGCCTTATGGGTTGTTAAGTAACTATTCTATCCTTTACTCTATCTATCTATCTATAGCCTAATACGAGCTATGTCTGTTTGTCTGTCCGTCTATCTGTCTGTCTGTAATATATATCTCGAAATCCAGCAGGAGGATTATGACAAATTTTTTTAATTAGGGATTTATAGCCCTAACAACTTGATTGGGAATAGGCACTACCTCAGGAAAATTTGTATTTTGCTACCCAACTCATTTGAAAATTAAAAAAATTTACATTGGCCTTAGGAGTTAGCAAAAAACTATGTTGTTTGAACCAAATAACAAGGAAAAAGAAAACAAAATACTTTTAACATGTGTTTATAACAAGCTATCCACAGTACACTAGCAAACTACAAAATACTGTACAATTAGGAAAACACATCAGTTGTAACTATTGAACAGAGATTACACTGAAGATAACTCGATATAGGGGAAATAGAGCAAGTGTTAAAGAGTGTTTGTGTTAGTGACGTTTGAGTGCACTGGCGTCAACTGAATGTTTTACTCTTATTTAAGGGTAGATTTTGAAATTTGTATGCACTCTTTTTCATAGTTAACATAATTTACCAGTCGAATTAGTAAAAAAGTTAATTGAGTTCATTGTATTACAATAAATCTTCATAGTAAACAATGTTTGAATGAATTAGTCCCAAATTCTTCTTCTTCTTAATTAATCAGTCTTCAGCTAATCCATCATACGAGAGTATTTTAGAGAGTATCCTTATGTTAAAGTTTTTCCTTTATATTGCTATTAAACTACAATTGAAATAAACTACACCGAGCCATGGCTTGTTCCCCCGGTACTTTTGTTAATGGTGACTATGATAATACTGTGAATAAATTGACAACCATCCTAAAATATTTAATTTATGATTCCCTCATTTATAACACAATGTAAAATGTAACGTTATGGTTTGTTTATCAATATTTCAAAATACTAATTCATTAATACATTTACACAATAGGCCCATGATTAATAGGCCTACTTCAAGTTCTTTTAATTTAATAATTAGTACCGGGGGACAGAGGCATGGCTCGGTATAGTTTATTTCAATTGTAATATAAAGGAAAGCTCACGTTTTTACAACAAATTTTGGCTTTGATTATTTAAGTTCCAGTGGAATTTCAATTCGTTATGAATACAACTGTCCAAATTATGTAAAATATAAAAAAGAGTGCATACAAATTTTAAAATCTACACTTAGTAAAAGTGAAACATTGAGTTGATACCAGTGCACTCAAACGGCACCAACACAAAACACTCACCACTTATCAACACTGACTTGCTCTATTTTCCCATATATCGAGTGATCTTCAATGTAATCTTTACTCAATAGTTACATCAACTACTGATGGTTATCACTTTGTACTGTACTGTATTTTATAATTTACTAGTATACTGTGGATGGCTTGTAGTAAGTGTTTTGTTTAGGGGCCTAATTTTTATTTTGTTCAACCAACATAGTTACTTGGCAACCCATAAAGCCAATGTAAAATTTTTTAATTTTCAAACGAGTTGTGGAGCGAAATAGGAATTTTCCTGAGGTAGTGGCTGTCACCAATCAATCACGTTTTTAAGGCTATAAGTACCAAATTCCAAAATTTAGTCAAAATCCTTCTGCTTGATTTCCACATATATATTACAGACAGACAGAAAGACATAGCTCGTATTAGAATATAGGATTTATTATTTTATCATGTGATAAATTGAAATTGTTGGTGAATGATTGATTCGTGTAATTGTAACATAAGTTTTATGTCCCAATCATCATAAAATCTGAAGGTCGTTTGATGTTGCTCCCTCGACACCCATATATGATATCGAATTACTTCAAGAGTAGTATGTAACCTAGTTTACCAATCGGTAGATGTAAAAATTGGTGAATGAATTATCATCGCTGAAAAAGTTTTTTTTTTTTTTTATTAAATCATTGCAAAATAAAACTTAGCTGAAAAATTATAAATGAGGAGAAAACCACTTAAGTTTCCCTCAACTTTAAAGAATAATGTTTATTATTTACAAAGAACCTTATCATAGAAATAAAAATTAAAAACAACAACAAAGAAACCTAAAAATAACAATCTGTCTATCAGATAAGCTTTCCTGGATTATAATGTGACTGTTTCCTTTTATCATAAGAGTTGAACTTGAACCTTAATGCCAATTTAATATTGATTACCACAAGTACTATTCTATTTGGTTTTTCAAGAGCATTTCCCTTATATGAATGTCATTTCCTGTTAAAAATAATTTTTCTTCAATAGTAGGCTAGGCATAACTGTAAACCAAAGTGTTACAATATTTCATTATTTTCTCTAAAACTTGGGATTGATTGATAAGTTATCATTTTATAAAATATGTATTCTGTGTTACTATTCAAAAATAATAAATTTAGTTTTGTTTGACAATAAATTATCTATATCTATATATATTATCATTTCTACAGTGTTTTTTTTGTCGATAGGCCATAACTTCCTTAATTCTTCACCAATTTCCATAAATGAGGTGTCATTTTAAAGCTCTTTTTACACACTACATGGGGAAATTATACAAACCACTCATTTTTCAATAGTTTTTTGTAAAAATGATCTATTATACCATTTTGTAAGGGATTTAGACTTGAAATGTTTATTTACGTTATTTGATCAGCTGAAACATGTGAATTAAATTAATGAAAAGAAACATATCTTTATTTTTCAAATCCAAGTGTTCTGTGTTTACTTCATCCATGAGGTAAAAACAACAAACAAACTTAGGTTGTGCTTTCTTCAATAAAACCCCGGATGTCTTAATCTGATTAAATCAGAATAAGCTTAGGCCTATTCACTTTAAAGAAGTCTAAACTAGAACAACTCAAAAGTAAGTACCACACGGATTCTTTAGCTTTTATATTTAGCCATCAAAACAAAATCATATCGTATCGTATACAAAAAATCGTATGGCCATATTATTACTTCAAGTACAGTGTTCAAATAGATCATGTAAACATGTAATTACATAAAAACTTAACATTATATTTTGAAAAGTTTAGCCTAATTATCTTAAATTTAAACCCACATTTATTCCTGAAATCAACGTTGCACTTATTACACAGAATAACTGTATTTTGAGTGCTTCAAGTGGGATTTGAGAAGGTTTTAGTGTGAATGATTCACACAGGCAGAACATTAGTTTTCAAAACAAGTTCAGGTTAATTAAACTTAGTGACAAATGGCCATAATAAATAATAGGATGATTATTGTTTTCATAAGATAAATCACAGAATTAGATGTTGGTTTGTTGCTCATTTGAACTACCTAGGGAGCTATGCAAAACAGGTTTAGAAAAATAACTTTTGTAAGATTATTTTATGAAGTGTGCCACCATTGAAGATCTTCTCTCTACAGTTTGTCATACTTTAACTAATGAGGCCTTAAAAGATGCTGTAATCTATTAGTAGGCTGCTCTTTCAGTTTGGCATGACTAAAAAGTTTGTGTATAAGAAAGAAAATCATATTTTCCAACAGCACAAAGAAACTATCTGTTGTGATCACTCATTATAACACACCAGAGGTTAGAAACTAACTTTTACGATGACTCGCTATAACACACCAGAAGTTAGAAACTAATTATTGAAATCACTCACTATAACACAACAGATGCTAGAAACTAACTACCTACTGTTGTAATCACTCCCAATAGACTCGTTGATTTTTCAAAATAATATTTTTACAAGAGAAATTCAAGTCCCATTTATTATAACAATACTTGACGCATATTGGATGATATAGAGCAGTTGAGTTTGCTACTTACTATCCTGTGAAGTTCCGTAGTGTCGGATCTTGCATGTGGATACTTGCGCTTCTCCCAAGTCTGAGCCAAGCTGCGAGATCCGTAAAGGGAATCTGTTGCACTCCATGTTACAAATGCTTCTTCACCATCAAAGAATAGTAACATAAGGCTCAAGTTCTAAAAAAAAACGTAACAGATCATGTTAGTTTAAGCAAGGATAAAACATACTAACTTAGTAGATTTCTCATTCTTATGGAACAGCTGAAGACAATCTTATTGTTGGTTCAAACAGTACAATATAGGCTAATCACAATGACTATGGCCCACTGGTTATATAACCAAAAAGTGAAGCACAAATCAAGAAAATAACCCTAAAATAATAGAAACAAAATTTCATTGACATTAGCACTCAGTATCATCGTACATGAACTAGACACGAAAAACGAGTTTCAAATCAAGCCATTTTATTCTCGGTAAATAACATGAATAAGAAGCAAACGTACAAATCACTACACTTTTTTTGTTCTGTGTTCTTTTTGTACAGAACATTTTTTTTTCACTCACCGACTTTTTAAAAGGCTCCAACCGATGTGACAAAGCGTGAGCCAAATCTAACATCATCGCACAAGGGACGGCGGAGTCCGTCGCTGCCAGAAACTCTCCCTCCCGCATGTGTTTACTGTCGTAGTGACATGCCAGTGTCAGATACCTGTCAGCTGATGGATTCAGCCGAGCAATTAAGTTAGTGAAAGTCAGCTGACCAAACAGCGGAGTCGTCTGCACACTCTCTTGGTGCTCTACTGACCAGCCCAGGCCTCGTAACTGGCTAGTGATGTACTATAAAATAGAAAATATGGAATTAAATACAATATTAGATGAATAAAAAGTTTATTATTTTTTATAAATTAATCAAACAACGCACTTGGGTTAGTCACATACTGAAGAAGTAGAGCTGAAATTAGAGGTGGACGTAGACATTACCTCAATAAATGAAAAATACATTTATAGGCACGGGTATTGTGAGGAGGAGGCTGTGGAGATGTATCACACAGTTTACACAAAGGACTAGCATGAGGGCTCCTGGAATCAAACAAGTTTGTTTTACCTAGAAATCTATATAGAGGCTTCTCTTTGGATTCAAATATTGAAATACTAATTTTATTGGGCCACAGTTTCATTACAATTATTAGCTATATAAACAACTGTAGTTATTATGGAAATTTTTCATTGCAATCATGAATGAAGGGGTAGTAGGCTACCTATTTGCCCATATCTTGTGGGATACACACAAAACTGAGGTGCAGTGGTTCAACTCATGCATAGGCTACTGACAAAAAGTCATTGCTTCCATCGGAGTTGTCACATAACACATTGCTAAAATAATTATTAAAATCAGGAGCTGGAAGACAGCAGAAGAACAGGCTCCACTATGCGGTAGCGGTGCTGACACCTTTACACCTCTTCACAATGACTAGGTAGCTACTTTTTTTGTTCAACATAGAGTGTGTGTTGATGTTATAAAATAATTATTAAAAATAAACTCTACCGTTACATAAAAATTTATTTTTTAACTGTTCCTTGTCCGTTGGTATTAAGCTAAAAAAGATAATGGTGCTGTCAGTCAAATTAACATTGAAACTGAACTACTGTGCTTAACTTACACCATCTACCAATTATAATTTAACAACGCAACAGTCAAAGTAAAAAAACTAACTAATTTTAAAATACAACATTTGTTGTACTTCTTCTTATCAATTTATAAGTTATCCAAGGATTAATTTACTAACAAATGAGTTATTTTTGCAACTACCAAGTGGATAATGGATAAGAATAACAAAGAAAGTTAGGCATGTAGCTAAGTTTGTCCCTTGAAGCACTCACCTCTCTGACTTTCCTATGTCCATCTGATCCGACCACTCGAGGCACAAGTATGTGAGAGAGGATTTCATCAAAGCGAGGGAGGCTCGATAGTTTAGCAACTTCTGTCAGCTCCTCACTATTAAAGGCCCTTGGTTCATGGTAATTCTGCAAAATTTGATGACTTTATAAAATGAAACTCTCATAAATTGATAATCAATGTATTTGGTGCAAAACATTGACATACAACTCTATCAAACTTACAAAATCTATCGAAACAAAAACTATCGGTATTTTCACTTGTATCAATGTCTTCTACCTTCAATAATTATATCATATGCCTAATCCTTTCCATATTGGCGTAACTAATATGTATACAAAGAGTAAACAACCTATTTAACCTACCACTACCATATGAATTAATAGCTAGGAGTAGTAGTCATTTTGGGGGTTCTAGGACAGAGGAGGGAGGAGTGTAGACCACGTGGGTTGAGGTAGGTAACCTCACTTTGCCTAACCTAACCTAACCTTACAGGCAGAGACTGATCCTCTGATTTGGACGACTTTACAGAAACGACAACAACTTTTGAATCTCATTTTATATAGGACCACCAATAGGTTCTCAACTGCACAAAAATGGCGCCGATTGTATCATTCGGTGCTCATGTTTTCACTAGAGGATTTGTATGAAGATGCAGTATTTCGATCTCAATGTATACTGACACGCCATTTGAAACTCACGTTCTAGGACAGAGGAGGGAGGAGTGTAGACCACGTGGGTTGAGGTAGGTCGGGAAGGGAGGTGTGTCCATGACGTCACATGTAAACAGAGGATGATCTTACAGACAGAGACTGATCCTCTGATTTGGATGACAATTTTTTTTGTGTGTAGATATAAAGAACGTTAAATCAGTTCTCATTTGGCATACTTGTCGTACAATAGGATCTCACGGCTGAGATCGAAAACGACAATAGCTTTTGAATCTCATTTTATATAGGACCACCAATAGGTTCTCAACTGCACAAAAATGACGCCGATTGCAACGTTAAATCAGTTCTCATTTGGTATACTTGTCGTATAATAGGATCTCACGGTTGAGATCGAAAACGACAACAGCTTTTGAATCTCATTTTATATAGGACCACCAATAGGTTCTCAACTGCACAAAAATGGCGTTGATTGCATCATTCGGTGCTCATGTTTTCACTAGAGGATTTGTATGAAGATGCAGTATTTCGATCTCAACGTATACTGACACGCCATTTGAAACTCATTGTTTTCATGTTGATTTTTACGTGTCTTCTGAGTTGAGTCGTTCCGTGTTTAGTGACGTCACTTGTCTTGGGATCATGTGATCATGGAATGTTCTAGAAACATTACCATAAAAGGAAATGCCACGTGATAGGTCACGTGATCATCTTGGAACGTTCGAGAACATTACCATATATGGTCATGTGTTTCGACGATTGTGCAACAGCCCGCGCGGTCTTGCGTCAGTCTTCTCTGAGAGGTGGTTGTGAGAGGTGCTATTTTTCGAGTCTTTGAAATTGTGTAGTGCGTGAAAAGTAAGTTTTCAACCATTTATAAGTGTGACGAGGATTTGCGGTGATGGCTAGTGTCAGTGCTACGAAGCGATCGTTTCCTAGTGACAACGAGAGTGATGACGACAGCCTTCCTACACCACCGAAGCGTCGTTGGTTCCAACGTTATAAAGACGATATTGAGGAACAACAAGGTGCTAGGGAAGAACACCGCTTGGATGTTGCCTCGGTCTCTGACGGAGAACATCATGTGTCACCGGTTGTTCAAAGTGCTACCAAGCGGTCGTTTCCTACTGACAACGACAGTGATAACGAGACCCGTCCTATATCACCGAAGCGTCGTCGAGCCCAACATAGTGAGTTGGATATTTTGGAACAACTACAAGGTGCTAGTGAGATGATGGACATTCAAGAGCAGGAAGAAGATGTTTCGGATGTCGTGCAGGTTCTACCTGTCAGGAGAGCCGATACAAAAACATTAAAGTTCTGTGATGTATGTCACCTCAGTATTACTAGGAAAAACTGGGCCCGTCATACTGGGAGTGGAGCTCACCAAGCGGCGTGGATACAAAAACAGCAACTAAACCGACCATCCGTCATAGTTCAGCCATCCATCATAGTTCGGCCATCCATCATAGTGCAAGTCCCACGTAAGCCTCCGCCACCACCTAATCTTGAAATCATCCAATCTAAAACGGCGTTCAGAGGTCGAATGAAGACGTTTGAGATCAATAATGTCAAAGTAAATGGTTACAAAAGTGTTGAAACTTTTATTGAAGATTCCAAAAAACTTATAATTGAAAAGGTTCGTGATGAGGGAACTTCATTGAAAATCCAACTTATCCTTAAGGCAAAGTTCGCTAAAGGGATTACGGAAAAAGTCGAATCTGATTTCGAATTCAAAACGAAAAACATCATCATTTACGAAGATTCTAATCTATCAGATTTGTTAAATGAGGCAAAACAAAAACTATTGACTGAGATGGAAAGTTTTAATCACAAAGGCTCCAATTGGAACATGAAAACGATTGAATGTCTTTTTTTACATATCAACCGACTTAAGCCTTTGAAAGGGTCTAGTTACATAGCCCTGCCAGAAAAAATTCGCTTGAAACGTGCTGTTGTAAACATAAAAAACAATGATCAGCGTTGTTTCATGTGGTGTTGTCTAGCAGCACTCCACCCTTCAAACGTACACCCGGAGCGGATCGACAGCTACACTGCTTACGTAGATGGATTTCTCAAGTTATTTGATGGGATAGATTTTCCAGTCAAACTGACTGATGTAAAAAAATTTGAAAAGCGTGCAGGATTATCGATCAATGTATACGGTCTTGAAGAAAATAGTGATGTTTTTCCCTTGTGTGTAACAGATGAAGAAAAGCCCGTGCATGTAGACCTGTTGTTGGTTAAAGATGGAACGAACTCACACTACTGTCTAATCAAAAACCTATCTCGTTTAGTTCGCAGTCAAGCTACAAAACATAAAGGAAAATGCTATATATGCAGACGTTGTCTTCAGCACTTTCATAACGAAGACAATTTGAAGACACATATGGAGGACTGCTCTAGACATGATCCCTTAAAAATAAAGCTCCCTACCGCTGGAAAAAATGACAAAATAAGATTTACGGAACACAATAAATCAATGAAAGTTCCTTATGTCATTTATGCTGATCTGGAGAGCATGCTCCTCCCGATTTCTACTTGTGAACCATCGGGAGTTGATGAAAACGGTGCTAAGAGATCGTACACATACAGCTATCAGAAACACGAAGCTATAAGTTTCTGTTACTATATCTCTGGCAGTGAAAAGCCTCCAACGACATATTTCGGGGAAGATGCTGGACGAAAATTTGTCGAGGCGTTGAAAAAGGAGGCCGTGGAGATAAAACAAATCTACGAAAAGATCATTCCAATGAAACCATTGCAGGAAGAAGAGATACGTAGACATAAAGAAGCGGTAACCTGTCACATCTGCCAGGAACCTCTCAATGAAACCGACAAAGTGAGGGATCACGACCACCTCACCGGTTTGTATCGAGGCCCTGCCCATTCCAAATGTAACTTATTGTTTACTAAGCCCAAATTTATTCCTGTTTTCTTGCACAACCTTTCTGGCTATGACATACATCAGTTCATCAAAGAAATAGGACGACAAGGTGAGAAACTCAAAGTGATTCCCCAAAATGATGAGCGATATATATCATTCACCGTTCAAGTTAGGGGAGGGTTGGAACTGAGATTCTTGGACTCTTTTAAGTTTTTAAGTGCAAGTTTAGAGCAATTGATTAACAATTTAACTACAGATCAGTTGGAGCATACAAAGAGATTTGTCAGATCATCACAGATAGAGTTGGTAACAAGAAAAGGAGTTTATCCCTATGACTTTATGGATAACATAACAAAATATGATATGACAACTCTGCCGGAACTTCATGATTTCAAAAACAAATTAAATAAGTGTGATGTATCAGAATCAGATTATGAGCATGCTCAAAAGGTTTGGAATGAGTTCAACATCAAAGATATGAGAGAGTACACATTGTTTTACAACAAGATTGACGTCCTCCAGTTGGCAGATGTTATGGACAACTTCAGAGACGTTTGCCTTCAAACATATAGTCTCGATCCAGCATGGTACTTCACAGCTCCCGGATTAGCCTGGTCGGCGATGCTGAAACTCACTGATGTAGAGCTCCAGTTACTAACCGACCTCGATATGATTCTAATGGTTGAAAAAGGAATTCGTGGAGGTGTTTCGCAGTGTTGCTTGAGACAAGCTCGAGCCAACAACAAGTACATGAGTCAAGGCTTCGATGAGAACAAAGAACCTAGCTACCTGGTGTACTTAGATGCGAATAACCTATATGCTTGGGCTATGTCGCAGGCAATGCCATTCGGTGACTTTAGATGGCGAAAAGATACTGAAATAAATGTTTTAGACATCAGTGATGACGCAGCCACCGGCTACATTCTCGAAGTTGACCTCGAGTATCCCGAAGAAATTCATGACCACCATGCAGACTTTCCACTCGCACCTCACCACATGATTCCACCTGGGTCAAAAATATCCAAACTGGTCACCACTTTGTACGACCGATCTAGATACGTTGTACACTACAGAAATTTAAAACAGTATCTGAACCTCGGAATGAAACTAAAAAATATACATCGGGTTCTTGAGTTTTCTCAAAAACCGTGGATGAAACCATACATCGATTTAAACACTAACATGAGGACCAAAGCAAAGAATAAATTCGAAATTGACTTCTACAAGCTTATGAATAACGCGGTATTTGGGAAAACTATGGAAAACCTTCGGAATAGAGTGGATGTTCGTCTGGTAACCGACGAACGACAGGCGGATAAATTCATTGCCAAACCGACATTCAAGAGTCGGAAAATATTTACGGACCATCTTGCAGCTGTGCACATGACCAAAACATCACTTCTTTTCAACAAACCGATTTACGTGGGGGCGGCTATTCTAGATGTGTCGAAAACCCTTATATACCGTTTCCACTATCAAGTGATGAAGAGCAGATATGGTGATCGAGTCATACTCGCCTATACTGATACCGACTCACTGATTTACATCATATATACAGAAGACTGGTACATGG